AAGACAAATGCAATACATGTTTTAGAATAGAAACAATACAGTATTGACCAACTTTCTTTTTCAAACATGTCTCTATCCTGAAAATATCCCTTAATTGTTCCAAATTTGGGATTCACTGTGACTGATCATCAAGTTACTGATGTATGCATTAATGAAATAACCCCCTCTGTAGACCAGATTTGGAAATACATTTAGGAAATAAAAAGAACAGACTTTAATATCAAAACAATGGCCAAGATTGCCAACAAGAAACCAACAATCCACAAACCTGCTTTGTATATATGCTTCAACTAAGCTGGAAAACCATGTCATATAATATACGTTTGTAGATACAACTCACCTGGACTGATCTGGAGATATTGCACATAGACTTCGCACACTTTGGAAACTCTTCCTGATAGCATGAATGTTTGCAAGATTCATGAACTGTATCTCACAATTCGGGTAGTATTCTATAAAACAAAGCAAACACACAGTTTATGAGTAAATGCGATATCTAGGTATAAATATTTTTCATCTTTTGGGATACCGATGTTATGAAAATCAAGTAAACAGAGCAAGTGTTATGGACACAGTGGCTAATCAATGTATATTCTAACTTGTCTATATGTGTGAGCAAACATCATTCATTTGCCTTAAACATAATAATATTTAATTATCAAAATTTCTGTAAAGCACACACAAAAAAGATGATACATGTATGTACATTTAAGTCATACACATTACAGGCCTTTTACAAGGATTTGACAAAAGCAATAAGTGAGCAGCAACTAACCTGCACATTCACATCCACCACCCTTCGCTCTGTTTGCTACAGCTGCAGTATATGACCTTGCGTCAATGATTAACACTTTTTTAGCCTGTGTTTGGATTGGGTCATCCTCACAAATATGAGGTACAGTGAGCATACTGTTATCATCATCGCTGTCGTCACCACCTGTAATGGCTAAAATAAACACACAAAACATATTGAAGCAGTCAGTGTTCTGCATAAATGTTGATTAATGTTACATCAATGGATATTATTGTCTGGAAGAAAAGATGAGGTGCTGATATTACAGTATTAAATAGCACACAGAATTGTGAAACTGGGTGTTTCTTTCTAAAACAGAAACACTATTAATTAAAAAAAAAAGATTTTTCAAAATGATGATAGAGGGCGCTATCAAACAAAGTTACATTATCCTTTGAATTACTCTTTACCTGTCCAGTGTAATTTAGATCAGTGTCACATCAGACAAAGTGACCAATGTGTACATGACAATTTTTGTGCGCATTTTTGACTTGCATACTTTTAGCATGTATCACGTTCATAGATTACCCTTGATACTCACCTGGATTACCGTTGATTAACGCAGGCGTTTTCTCGCCACTCAGTGTACTCTTTTGATCAATAGCACATGTTATTGCCAGCATATGCAGATAAGTCTCGTCATCCGAGTTACGCCAGCCAAGCCAGCCAACCTCTGGCTGACTGCATCTCGCAATCACGCTTGAATTGTGGGGATGTCTATAAAAAGCAATATATACAAATGTGTTATATATACCTGTACTATAAATGGAAGCATTTGATTCTCACCACAAGATTTGACACTCCATAGGAGTTTAAGTTTGCTTTAAGCTTAAGACCCCTCCTCCCCTAAGTGAAAAAAACACTACAACAAAATATCAAATTTGTTCCAGACTCTTAAATATTAACATAAATTCATCTTGAGTGGTATGTATTTTTAAAAACAACAGCTGTAGACGTATAATATTTCATCTTAATAGCGAAAAAAACATGTTTGTTTCGGGATTCACAGTATTCAGTTTATGTCAATATTAGATTTACAGATCACGTATCTGGGTTATTGATTTTAGTGGAAATGTATTAGAACTCTTGAGATAAGAAGGTAGTGAAAATTTCAAAAAATAATTGTTGCCATATACTGACAGTTTAAAGATGATAGACTGTCGACAGTCAGAGTGACTGTATTCATTGTGTTCATAACGTGAACAACCAACGCATTCAGGAGGTCATTGAGAATAAATTTGCAAATAATTTATTTTGTGATGTCAGCATCAACTATGAATTATTCATATCAACTAGAATCCAGCACTAATGTCCTTCGCGTGAAATACAAACACCTTTGGCGTTTGAATGTCTAAGAAAGGGATTTTGATTACATCGAGCAGACATCTTAGTTATTCTTATTTGATTGTATGCATGTGGTATAGCTGAGCTCCAAAACACTCAAATCTGATGGAACGAGCACATGCAGTCTCAGTGCATTTTCTCTGTCAAGATGGCAGCTAATTCAATAATTTTCCATGGCAACACCATGTCATTTATATACAAACAAGTCATTGTTAATGACACAGTCCCCGTCCCAAATATTGTGATCTGACATATCAATTTGATGCTGATGAAGTCATTGAGATTAGATTGAAACCATTAATAGGAGATGGATTTGTAAAAAATTATGATTTAGTGCTTTTACACAAGAATTGGACATTGGGCAGTCATATTGAATCAAATTACAAAAAACAAGTGGCGTATACAACAGATTGTTTATTTACATCAAAACACGTGTTCCGTGTAGTAGTAATATGGCCGTTATTTGGCCATCTTTGATCTGATTATGAAACACACTGATATGTATGATGTATGTGCCAAATACGAATGAAAATGGTACATAAATTGTGGAAATATAGTAGTAAAGCCAAAAAGTCAGATTGCTATCAATCGGCCATCCTTGACCAGATTTTGAAACAAATTGTTATGGACATGCATCCTAACATGTATAAAGTACATGTATGTGCCAAATTTGAATGAAAACTGACAGAGCACTTCCAAGATACCACATAAAAAAACAAAACAAGATGCCTGCCAGTCGACCATCTTTGATCCAATTGCGAAATAAATTGTACTGGACATGTAACCTAACATGTATAATCCATGTACTAAGTTTGAATGACAACTGACAAAGCATATCCAAAATACAACATTTTCAAAAAACAAGATGGCTGCCAGTCGGCCATTTTGAATCGAATTGCTAAACCACTGCATGTGCATTTGTCCCACATAAGGTACTAGGCACATGTAAAGAATGAACGGAATTGGTCCACAGGATTCTGAAATATTACTATTAACAGACTGACGCACGAATGGACGGATGGACAGACAGACTCAGGAACTCACGGGTGGTCGGGGACATGTATCCTAACATGTATGAACGATGTACTAAATTTGAATGAGAACTGACAAAGCATGTCCAAAATACAACATTTTCAAAAAAACAAGATGGCTGCCAGTCGGCCATTTTGAATCGAATTGTGAAATAAATCGTCATGGACATGTATCCTAACATGTATAATCTATGTACCAAATTTGAATGAAAACTGACAAAGCATGTCCAAAATACAACATTTTCAAAAAAACAAGATGGCTGCCAGTCGGCCATTTTGAATAGAATTGCTAAACCACTGCATGTGCATATGTCCCAGATAAAGTACTAGGCACATGCAAAGAATGAACGGAATCGGTCCAAGGGATTCTTAGATATGACTCCGGACAAACGCACGGACGCACAGACGGAGCCCGAATTATAAGTCCCCGTTTTCGGACTTCGTCCGAACGGGGACTAATAATAGTAATATGTTTCAACTCAAGTCTTCAATGTTTACAATTTTTTTTTTGCTTTTTTTAGACAAATTTCAGATATCTGTGTCTGCTTTATTTTCTTTACCATCCTAAACTTAGCTGAAGTAAAATGAAAAAGTTCTATCCTATAGACACAAATAAAAGAATTTGCCATTGAGGGCGCCCTAGTACAGCATTTTGGGTTTTAAAAAAATGGAATTAGCATATTAGATACATTATATCTTAGTTATGCTAATATCTTATTATGTAGACAACTGCAATAGCATTTTCTCAACAAATTTACTTAAGGAAATTCATTAAAAATACACAACCAGTGGACTAAATTTTTCTTTTAAGCGAATACTCACCTCCAAACCACAGCTGGTATTCTCTTTGATGATCTGAAATTAGCAATGCTGGTTAACTGTTTATCTGAGATCCATGCTGGAACGATAATTTTCTTCGGATATGTGGGACAAAATCTGTAAATGAAGTTTGAAAATCCAATCTATTCTCTTCCAAAGAAGCAGTAAAGTGTAAATCAAAGTATCCTTGTCTTAAAAAAAGTACCAGCATTAGCAGGCTACATACATACAATGAGTGTGACATATTTAATGTTAGAAATATCAAGTTGGATGTTTTAAATTCATAAACTTACGTGAAATCTTCATTCAGTGTGCATATTCTCCAGCAACCACTTAAATGAAAACCAAGCCTTTCCCTTTCTAAATCAAAGTTGTAACGAAATCCACCTGCAATATATAAACAGACAGAAGTTGGGTGTAATGTTTTAACATGAAAAACGTCCAAAGCGAACATCAATGTAATGACAATGCCACAGAAGATAAATACAATGAAGATGGTTAAGGAGACCCACTGAGAGTCATCCAAATAATACAAGCCAGGATTTGATTGGTTCTTGAGCCAAAATAACAAGAAAGGGATGGTGCGTACTTCACAGATTGTGTTGGGAAGTCAATCAGGGGCTATCTTGCTGGTAACCAAATCAAGGGACATTGATAGCGAGCGGGAATGTGCAAGATCATACAGTTCCTATCATTGTGAAGTTAACTGGCTATGCATTACATTATCTCAGAGGCAACATACTGTACTTAAGTCAAAGATTGTACCTGATTGGCTACAAAACCCTAACAGTTAACAGCTAAACCAATCAAAAACCAGCTTGCTTGTTGACAGGTTCTTTCAACAAAACAAACCATGTCCTTTATAAATACTTCAACTCAACTACACTATTTCTTCACTTTTCAATCATTGTAAGATGTTTAAAATTAGAGAGAGCTAGAAGAACACAGTATCTTACCCGGTGAAACGAAAAATGAATACATTTCAGTACTGCAATCAATATCAGGTTGGCAGTGTATGGCATCAAAACACCATGCATGGAATGCAAAGGCAAATAAGTCTTCTATTTTAGACAACGGAGATGTCACATTACCCAGTCTCTTGTACCATTCTTGACATTGCTCATTGGTTGAAAAGGTACACCTATACAAACAGAAATTCAACCAATAATGATGACAATATATATTGCATTGCAGTGAGATTTGTACATGCCAGTTATTCATTTCAAAAGCATTGCATAGACTCTTGTCAGTCTGTGTCTTCAAAGTAGAGTAGTAGTTAGTACTGTGAAGACCAAATTTCCATCAGTTCAAACTGAACGGAAATAATGAGAGACTGAGAATTTAAAAACTAACAACTTTACAACATGCATGTTGCTAGTGGAACACGGCAACATTCATGGACACCACCATCAACAAGCTACAAGCACACGTGATGTGATGTGATTTGTGAACTGGACTTCCAGTTTTCCACCATCATATTAAGTTTTGAGTTTATGAGAAAGATTATAAACGCAATTTATTTTTATGTTAAGTATTTTCAATGTCAAAAGACTTCTGTATTCAATCATGCACATGGAAGATCATCAAATAATTTTCAGGGCAACCTTTGAACTCGACAGGCTTCTGTACTTATAGAACTCACCTGAATGATCTTCCATCCTTACAAAAAATATACAAATAAAATATATCTCTACACTCCACTGATTCTATCATGCGTATAGGAACCTGCAAGACAAAAAAGGAAAAAATTAAAACTAGCATCGTATTGATAACCTGATCATTACCAAGCAGTTCTATCAAAAAAATTAACAGAAACCAGGCATGAACTGAAAATGCTTCTGTGCTAAATTGATTAAATTGTTATGCAAATTATCTAATTAACATGTTAGAATTTGTACCAAAATGTGATCAGGTCTGGTGTCCTTGATATTTCATTTCAATCTGGCCAGTGGTACTTGAGATATCAGTGAACAAGATTTGACACAGCCAAACAAACAGATTGACAGACAGGCTAACAGACAGACAGAAATTGGTGTGACATTACTTTCGGTTTGTGTTTTAAAAACAGAGTCAAAAATCACTTTAGACCAAACAGATGCATTTCATTATTTAATGGTTTGAAGACGTATATAACAAAATAGCAATATTAGTCACAACTATCTTCTGTACAACAGGTGGTTGTTAATTTATTGTAAAACCAGTAACTATGCGAATATACTTAGTTAATTTTAATTTAACTGCGCAAACATTTGGTCATATTTAAACAACCTTATTATTATACAAATTAAGTAATTAATATGCATAAATTTGAACTCAACGCTAATCCCGTTTAAAACGCACCAAATTTCAATAAATTTTAATTTCAACAGTTACAGCATAATTCAGTAATATTTGATAGTCACACCCTTTTTCAACGCTTGTTTATTCTATTGTTTCATACTGACCTAAATCAACAAATTACATGCAGGAAATCAAATATCACTAGAAATTATTAGTCGGGCAGAGTTCACTACTTGAACTTTAATCAGCCGAGTCAGCATTATTCTTGGTACTTACAAGTTTATTAAGATAAATCTACTTAATATTAGCTGACAACCATTGTGTGATAACATGTCAGGACACTGGAATACTGGGTACGGAAGTGATTGTCACATAATTTGTATTATATATTGTTGTCATGGCTGAGTCATAAACCACTACTCAAGTTTAAAGTACTGTGTCATCAGTACGCACTAAGATCAGAAAAAAATTCCAAAACAGACTTCTTCTATGCAAGATTCATGTAATTACCTAGAGTTGCTTGATTTTATAGAATGTATTCAAATGAACGCTGTATATTGTACAGTAGTAATTTCATGAGTAAAATGCCGTGAAATATTGATTCCAAAGAATCCTGATATATTTACATGATCCACAGCATTTACATGAATCATGGAAGGTAATAGATAAAGAAGAGAGGACGCTATTGTTCTCCCCTGTTTACTTGGTAAACATTCCTACTATGTAATTATGTGAATAATTAGCATTCAGGTCAGCTCGGAAACAGTCAGAGATAAATTGATGCAAAATCCAGCAACATGACCAAATCACAGATCCTCGTAAAATATTCAGTGTTCATGCTAGAACCTGTGGCCCAATAACAAGTTACTTTGACCCTACTAGGGTCCTAGCATAATAATTCAAACAGGCAATGTATTTAAAAGTCAGTTTGTCATGAATAGACCGGAAACAAGATAGTGAAACTATTGCGTAAAAATGGTGTGTTTTTTTTTCAACATCACACATCAGTGCACATGTAATCGACTGAGCTTACCCAGTATCTGAAAGTTTCTGGTACAAATATTTCAGGAGACAACAAGGCGTGCATTTTTACCTTTTTCAAACTAAAACAAATTTACTACAGAAACCAAGCAGTATGTCATCAACTCACGCTGAAATACAGTGGCAGGCCTTGTATATTTCCGCCTCTTTTTCTATGTGCAAAACATGTTGCAGTCAAGGCTTCTTTTTTCAGTCCCGAGTCCAGCCCGTTTTGTTGAGTTAAATAAGTGGGAATGACAACGGGTTGAAAGGAAAAAATATACATTGTACTATGTTCATGTTACAGGATTATGGCACGTGTCGAAATTTTTAATCTTTTGTGTTTGCAGATGGATTACAGATTATTCTGGGCCCGCTTAGGACTGTCTCGATTCGTGCCGAAATCACGCCCTCATTCGTCGATCTGTTATTTCACCCAAACATAGAACACAGTTGAACTCTGGTGACCTTGCCCTTTGTTATATAATATAATTCCCTTTATCATAGTTTGTTTCAATATAAATATGCATTGTCATAATTAATTTTGAATACAAACAAGTTTTGGGGTTGAACCAACAGTCTACCGAATGTCCTTAAAAGATGTAAATATCTTACAAAAACATTGGTGCCTTATTTGTTTAATTATTTTAAGGGACATAATTTCCAGCTTTATTCAAAGTAATTCAGATATTTTAGTATAAAAACAAATGCCTCATCACCAAAAAAAAAGTGCTGCATTTAGACGTGAATAGATTCATAGAACATGCAAGATAACAGAAAATCTTAGCTGGCTTTTGTCCAAGTATTTTGTACAGGTGTCTGTCAAAAATTAATGATTCACTGAGACAAATATGAACTGCCTCATTGTGTGACTACTGTATTATATGAAAAGTAAAAAACAAACGCCCTTTATAAATAGCTATCAGGTTGCAAAATCTGCTTTGTATGCAAATCAACTTAAATAGTTAGTTAGTTAGTTGGTGTCCAGTGGAGGGAGAAGTCAACAGTACTGTTGCCTCCTGAGAATCTACATCTTCAAACACTGCAATCTTTGAAGTGCGTTTTTAAAACAGTATTATAAAAACTATATCATTCTGTTCTAATAGCTGAAACATATTCCTGTGAGTTTTCATTTGTCGAATGAACTGTTTGTCAAATACAGAATACATATATTTTAGAACAATTTTCTTATTAAAATGTGGATGAAATGTTTAGCTTTTTATGTATTGTTTTTGATTTGATAACTTTGAACTAAACAGATTTTCTATTAGCTTCAGATCTTGATCAAAGTTTAGCACCCAGTTCATAGGAGTGCTTATATTGATTTTCTGACATCTTGTTTTCTGAAAAGAATTTATTGGTAGGTTTGCAAATGTGTATCAGACTGTGCAATGTCTCCATGAGTTGGTTTTGAAACCCAGTATGGGATTCTGAGATACATTACAAAGGATATTAATATACCTTTCCCTTCCATCTTTGATGGTACGGGCAAGGTAACAAAACTGAGAACATACATTAAATTTAAAATGAATTATGATCTAGAAAATTACATTAATGTTTTGGATAATAATCAAAGAATATCAACGACTAGATTCAGGACAAGTAGTCACAATCTAGCCATTGAAAAAGGCAGACGTACCAATCCAAAAACCCCATTAGAAAATAGAATATGTAAACAATGCCCATTACAGGAAGTTGAAGACGAATTACACTTTCTTTTAGTTTGCCCACGATATCAAACAGATAGAAATGATTTTATTTCCAATATTTTATTCCCCAAAGAAATCATTACCAACCTGCAAAAATTCACATATTTAATGAAAAGTAATGACAGAAATATAATGAAACTTTTAGGGGAATTTTTACATAAATCATTGAGCTTTCTTTGGATATAATACCTTGACTCTTTTTTTTCTATTTTTTTACGTTATTATACTTTGATATTATTTTAATCACTTATATATTTATTGCTGTAAACCAATAAAACATTTGTACTTCTAAGGATGCAATAAAGTTATTATTATTATTATTAGTCGTTGGGATTCGCCTTACAAGTTACAACTTCAATATGGCGTTAACGTTACATCGTAAATAGGCAGTCAACACCAACGTGTATGTTACACTATTTCTCTTTTCATGTCTAATTACCATGTGACATTTTTTTGGTTCCACAACTTACATGTGCTTGCCGATTACAGAACAATGCGATATGTCGCCAGTACATACTTGTTTACCGTAGTTTGCGAGCAGACGACAAAGTAACCATTAATATTTCTACAAGGCATGTGGTGAACCCTCACACTGTAAATAAAGAAGTAATATGGGCTTTGATCGGCCATTGGGATTCACACTTTTCGACCAACCAACCAATTAGAATCGTGCTCATCGCAGAGTGACACTGCAACCCTTTCGTGGAGTGCAATAATCAGCATTTGGGGAGTCACACAATCGCTTTACAGAGTTAGTTTTTAGACCCCCTTACATACCTCGTTATAGTTGTCCAATAACAAACAAGCCATGCATGGCACAGTCCCTGTTAGTTATTGAATTTAAGATAATAGTTTTGTTTATAGTAGCTATAGTATATAGCTGGAACATAAACATGTCAGAAATATGATTATGATGATTGTTTAACATTAAAATGATTGACATGTGTATGTGGGGTATAGGGTCTTTTACAGAATCAGATAACAAGTCAGTTACTTCTAGCTGAAAAGCACGACTACTTTATTCCGTGGTCTAAACACTACTGCCTCATGTTAGCCTTGACTCACACATGTGACAAGTTTACATTCTGGTGGGTAATCTCAAGTTACATTAACGTGATAGGCTATAAACTATAGTGACATAATGTAAGATAAAGAATATCATATGGTATCCCCCAAATATGTTAATCACAGAAATCTGTTCTCAACATTCTCCCGGCGGCGACAGTATCAATAGATATACGTATATAATGATATAGGTAAATAACGAATTTGAATAAAGTCATAACATAGAACAAATAACACGCAAAGTAACGAGTAAGTAAATATCGAATAAAAAGATCACTTGGATATCGAAATAATATAGATCAAAACTACTAACATAATAATGTTCGTTATATAGTCCAACACAACACATGTAAAGTTCACACATTGTTCAAGTCTTGTATTTTACAGCGGGCTATAGCTGCTGCATTGCGCGTTGATCTTCGTAGAGTAGTACCACGCTGTTTATGTGTTACGTCCATGTGAGTGTCATTATTGAGGACTTCGGTAGGCGTGATGTTTACATTAACTTCTAGTGGGTATAACTTATAAACCGGGCGA